GATATCTTGACAACGACTTCAAAAATATTATAATGGCTTTGATAGATATCTTGACAACGACTTCAAAAATATTATAATGGCTTTGATAGATGTCTTGACAATGACTCCAAAAATATTATAATGGCTTTGATAGATATCTTGACAACGACTTCAAAAATATTATAATGGCTTTGATAGATGTCTTGACAACGACTCCAAAAATATTATAATGGCTTTGATAGATATCTTGACAACGACTCCAAAAATATTATAATGGCTTTGATAGATGTCTTGACAACGACTCCAAAAATATTATAATGGCTTTGATAGATATCTTGACAAATAGAGCATTCGCCTCCTGACCTCATGGTCTTAGTAATTCAAAACGGCAAAAAAATGTAAGATAGAACTTGGTAAATCTGAGGTAGCGATTTGCTGTCAGTGCCAAGCGAGGCCTGGTTTTTCATTCCTTTCACTTTCAAGGAGAAGAAATGCCAGCTTTCGTCTCAACCGATCCCTGTAAGTGGAAGAAACTGTTCCAACATCCCCCACAACCAAGTATTTTATTGTATGTGAAACAACGCTCGGGCACACAGGCAAGCTTTACATGGAAACTCATTCAATAGAATGGAGGTGAAATATTTTGCCACCTACACACCTTCTACGAGAAAGCTTCTTAATTTGGAAATATGATTTGAAACAGAGGCTCTCTGAATCAAGAGACCAAATGCTCACTCATAAAACAAAGGACGGCAACACTTGCTCAGTTGATGGATCAAAAACCCCCCAGCATGCGGAGAGGGAAGATAGCAGCAGCCGCCAGCTCAACGCACGCCGAGATGTCGCAGCGAGTTGCCCCACAATGATGGCCTTATGTGTCATCCAATTATTTCTCTACACCAGCAGTTTGCTCATTTCTAACAGAACAATTCTTTTCTATTTATTCTCGTTTGTTGTTTGTGTGTTTGTTTGTTGTTGGGTTTTTTCTTTTTCATTTGACAATTTTAGTTTTGATTCACATGATTCTTTCATTGTTGCACTACAGGGCTTACATCTGGCTTTCTTTGTAGCCAAAACCCCTTTTACTTCTTACCTTGATACACTTCTCATGCATTTAGCCTCTTTCTTTCTCCAATTCAAGCATAATTTCTATTTGAAACTGCTACATGGCATTTGAATGTCCTATGTGTTACATTTGAGATCTCAAAGTTTCCATTTGAACCGGCTATTATTATAGGACTGTTAATGACGTCATGTAGCCTATATTTGGACTTCTTTGGTGTAATTTGGTCTTTCAATGTGGCATTTGAATTTGTTCTATACTATCACGACATCCCTAAATCATTCTCCATGTGTGTAATATCATCCCTACGTCACTAGCACTGTCACTACATCCCTAATACAATCGCTATGTCACCAATACTTTCACTACGGTACATCCCTAATACAATCACTATGTCACCAATACTTTCACTACGGTATCACTAATACAATCACTATGTCACCAATACTTTCACTACGGTACATCACTAATACAATCACTATGTCACCAATACTTTCACTACGGTACATCACTAATACAATCACTATGTCACCAATACTTTCACTACGGTACATCACTAATACAATCACTATGTCACCAATACTTTCACTATGGTACATCACTAATACAATCACTATGTCAATAATACTTTCACTACACCCCTAACACTATCACTACGTCACTAATACTTTCACTATATCCCTAACACTATCACTATGTCACTAATACTACCATTACATCTGTAATACTATCACTATGTCACTAATACTATCACGACATCCCTAATACCATAACTATGTCACTAAATACTATCACTCTCACCATACACTCTCACAAACACACACTCTCACAAACACACACTCTCACAAACACACACTCTCACAAACACACACTCTCACAAACATACACTCTCACAAACATACACTCTCACAAACATACACTGTCACAAACACACACTCTCACAAACATACATTCTCACAAACATACACTGTCACAAACATACACTGTCACAAACACACACTCTCACAAACATACACTCTCAAAAACATACATTCTCACAAACATACACTCTCACAAACACACACTCTCACAAACACACACTCTCACAAACATACACTGTCACAAACATACACTGTCACAAATATACGTACGTACGATACACTGTCACATTAATACGTACGTACGATACACTGTCACAAATATACGTACGATACAGTTGGGATCCTCCATGCTCTCGCAGACGTCTGAGACTTCCTCCCGGCCCCCCGCTCCAGCCTCCTGCTCGGAACTGTCCCCGGAATTCTGGGAAGGGTCCTGACCTTGTGTGGCACCAGAGTCGTGACCTTGACCTGGCTGTGGCACAAAGGTGAGCACTGCCACAGGGTAGCGGTCCCTGGGTACGTCTCCCAGGCTCTCGCTGCTCACAGACTCCGGCAGCCGGTCACAGATCTCGTGCTCTCCTGGCTCCAGATACCTGCAGCAAACACGATACCTTCAGATACCTGCAGCAAACAGGATACCTGCAGCAAACACGATACCTTCAGATACCTGCAGCAAACAGGATACCTTCAGATACCTGCCGCAAACACGATACCTGCAGCAAACACGATATCTTCAGATACCTGCAGCAAACAGGATACCTTCAGATACTTGCAGCAAACAGGATACCTGCAGATACCTGCAGCAAACACAACCCTTCACTTTCTCCTTCATAATGTAAGAACACGGACTCAGAGAAAAAGAAAAGAAAGAAAGGAACTATTTTTCCAAAGACCAACGTCAGAATATTTGTCTTATTGCCAGATTGTCACGTCAGAATATTTATCTTATTGCCAGATTGTCACGTCAGAATATTTGTCTTATTACCAGATTGTCACGGCATTTAAAATGGGGGCTCTGTGAACTTTTCTATGGGGGCTCTGTGAACTTTTCTGCCAATACCAGCACTGAACCACACACACACACATACACACACACACATACATACACACACAAACTGAACCACACACACACACACACACACACACACACATACGTACACACATATACAAACACACATACACACACAAACTGAATCACACATACACACACATACACATACATACAAACTGAACCACACCTACAGACACATACACACACACATACACACACACATACATACACACATACATACACACACATACACACCACCTGAACCACACATACACACACATACACACACACACACACACACATACATACACACACATACACACATAATCACACATACACATACACACACACACACACATACTGAACCACTTGGGCCTATTTGAAACAGTTTCTCAGCAAATTCCAAACAAAACAAGCAAAAACAGCACCAGCATACATAATATATTCTATAAATAGGAAACCTGCTGGAAATCTAGACCCATTCAAGGAGAGAATAAAATGCATGTGAATCTTGGAGCAAATGGTTTGCTTACTTGACAGAAGGACAACTTACTGCAGCTGTGTGCTGTGAAGGGCCTCCAGCTGTCGATACATCTCACAGCTCAAATCTCGGCAGGCCCGCCGTACCTCTGTGCCGGGCTTCAGAATCAAGTCGTGAAGCGGGTTGATCCGAGGACCCCATAAAATAACAACTTCACAAGGACAAAGGCTAGACAGGACCGCTCTCAGCCCATCTGTAGAGGGAAAGACACAACCTGAAAGGCCCGCAAGGAACAATTTACAAGTAGTACTTTTTCCTTCTTACACATATATCAATATGTTTTCATAGGCTATTACTTTTTCCTCCTCACACATAGCAATATAATGTTTTAGTATTACTTTTTCCTTCTTACACATATATCAATATGTTTTAGTAGGCTATTACTTTTTCCTCCTCACACATAGCAATATAATGTTTTAGTATTACTTTTTCCTCCTCACACATAGCAATATAATGTTTTAGTATTACTTTTTCCTTCTTACACATAGCAATATAATGTTTTAGTAGGCTATTACTTTCTCCTTCTTACACATAGCAATATAATGTTTTAGTATTACTTTTTCCTCCTCACACATAGCAATATAATGTTTTAGTATTACTTTTTCCTCCTCACACATAGCAATATAATGTTTTAGTAGGCTATTACTTTTTCTTTCTTACACATATATCAATATGTTTTAGTATTACTTTTTTTTAAAGCTCAGAAGAAGAGAGCAAAAACAAAGGTGAGAACAAAGCATGTACCATGTAGCCTATGTAGCCTATCGTTAAAGCATGTACCATGTAGCCTATGTAGCCTATCGTTAAAGCATGTACCATGTAGCCTATGTAGCCTATCGTTAAAGCATGTACCATGTAGCCTATCGTTAAAGCATGTACCATGTAGCCTATCGTTAAAGCATGTACCATGTAGCCTATCGTTAAAGCATGTACCATGTAGCCTATCGTTAAAGCATGTACCATGTAGCCTATCGTTAAAGCATGTACCATGTAGTCTATCGTTAAAGCATGTACCATGTAGCCTATCGTTAAAGCATGTACCATGTAGCCTATCGTTAAAGCATGTACCATGTAGCCTATCGTTAAAGCATGTACCATGTAGCCTATCGTTAAAGCATGTACCATGTAGCCTATCGTTAAAGCAAGACCAAGCAGCCTATCGTTAAAGCATGTACCATGCAGCCTATCGTTGAAGCATCATTGCCTTTCTCACCCTGCACCAGGGTAGAGGCCACGCACAAACACTTTCTCACCCTGCACCAGGGTATAGGCCACGAACAAACACTTTCTCACCCTGCACCAGGGTAGAGGCCACGGACAAACACTTTCTCACCCTGCACCAGGGTATAGGCCACGGACAAACACTTTCTCACCCTGAACCAGGGTATAGGCCACGGACAAACACTTTCTCACCCTGCACTAGGGTATAGGCCACGGACAAACACTTTCTCAAATATTTCTATCAGGATGTACAGCCTAAATAGTTCTATAAGACAGGATGTATGGCCTAAATAGTTCTATAAGACAGGATGTACGGCCTAAATAGTTCTATAAGACAGGATGTATGGCCCAAATAGTTCTATAAGACAGGATGAACGGCCTAAATAGTTCTATAAGACAGGATGTATGGCCTAAATAGTTCTATAAGACAGGATGAACGGCCTAAATAGTTCTATAAGACAGGATGAACGGCCTAAATAGTTCTATAAGACAGGATGTATGGCCTAAATAGTTCTATAAGACAGGATGTACGGCCTAAATAGTTCTATAAGACAGGATGAACGGCCTAAATAGTTCTATAAGACAGGATGTACGGCCTAAATAGTTCTATAAGACAGGATGTACGGCCTAAATAGTTCTATAAGACAGGATGTATGGCCTAAATAGTTCTATAAGACAGGATGTACGGCCTAAATAGTTCTATAACTCTTTCAGTACGCTAGAGATTCCACAATTTTATGCACCCAGGGGGTGAACGGCTACAAATCTGTCCTCAGAGAAATTCGCGCGCGCAACCCGCAAGTTGCGCACGCAATTTTTGGCCTCAGCGCAACTTTAGGCCTCAGCGCAACTTTTGCGCAACTTTTGCGCAACTTTTGCCATTTTCGTGAATTCGCGAATTTTAGGCAATTTTCAGCAAAAGTTGGAAAAATAATAATTTAATTTCGGTAAAAATAACTGAAATTTTCTTCCTCTACTAAAAATAGCGACGAGAAGGGGGACAGTTCGTACCTGAAATTAGATTTGCCACTTCTTTTGCACTTTGCACTACGTGGATGAGATCGGGTCGGGATGATCGCCCGACTCTTTGCCTGAAAACAATGCCGCGTTTGTTTTTGAGGCAACGACTCACGAGTCGGGCGCGATCGATTTGTGCCACGATAGCCACTTTGCGCCATCAGTCTGTCGAGCAAACCGACCCGTCCCGACTTGACCCCCCCAATAGTCCTATTTGGACTGAATCATCTTCTACTTCTTCTAGATCTAGCTAAATCTAGACTGTAGATCTAGATGTCTATAGAGTAAACTCAATCGTAAACACGATCGTCTGATTACTTAGCTTGCTTGGTTCCGTAGCACCAGGTAGATAGATCTAGTATAAAAATTTGTGAAAGACTTAGTCTTAGGCCAGGAGGCTAGATCTAGACATGGATCGATTCATCCAGAAAACCCCTAAAGGGGTCGTTCAAATAATAATCTTACACCTGGAAAAAGGCCTGAAGGG